ACCAGCAGATACCCCGCTGGGCAGCAATGGGGCAGCCGACCAACAGCGGGGTGAGGGAGGTGGGAGGATGGTGACAGCCCACAGGACAATGGGGATGCCCACCCCATTGTTTTTCCCCAACCCAGGACAGTACCCAGGAGGGAGAAGGCGTGCCGTGTGCTGTCCAGGTCAGATGCATCATCAGTGCTTGTGCTGCAGCGGCCCTGCTGGGTGTAGTAGAAGGTCTCTGCTCCACCTAAAGAGGAGATGTGTGGGTGTTGAAAGCAGCACAGCCCCACTGGGCTCCCAACCACCCCCATCCCGTGGGGCAGCACATCCAGCCAGCAGCCCCAAAGGTTGGGGGGATGGGAGAGGGGGGGGGAAAATGCAGAGTGCTGGCATCACCATGGGGACACCCGGGAGGACATGGGGCACTCACGCAGATGCAGACCCTGCAGCTCAGGCAGGGCAGCTGATGCACAGAGCTGATAGAAGATGTGGTAGTTCCGTTCTGCTTTTGCCTGCAGATGAGTGAGAAGAGCACTGAGCACCCCCAGAGCGGGGACAAGGGGATGCTCCCACCTCCCAGTTCAACCGAGCAGCGCTGGGGCTGCGTGCCATAGCAGCCACGGCCAACACTTGGCCCTGTCCCTACCCAGAGCCCCACCTGGAAGGTGACACGGGACTTCTCCAGCAGGTAGGTCTTGATGGTGGCCCCCATCACACGGGCATGGCTGAAGCCGATCTCAATGTACTTCCCAAAGCGGCTGCTGTTGTCGTTCCTGGTAGTCTTGGCGTTCCCAAAGGCCTGGCAGGAGGGAGGCTTTGTTTCTCCAGATGCTCCAGGGGAGGCCAACCCCTCACACCCATTTTATCATGGGCTGAAGGCCATGGGAAGGGCTTTGGGATGGGGGACGCACCTCCATGAGTGGACAGGAGGCCAGCACCTTCTCCTCCATGCTGGAGTCCCCCAGACCACCCCCGACGGTGGTGAAGTATCTCATGGCATACTTGGCTGAGGCAGTTTTCCCTGCTCCTGATTCACCACTGATGATGAGGGACTGGTTCCTACCAAACCTGGAAGGGAATGTGAACCCTTCAGCCACTGGGATGGTTCCAATGGGGCTTCAACCCTTCTCCACCACAACCCAGGGGTTACAACCCCATGTTGGGAACCCCCAGTGGAACAGTTCCTCCCAATGGGGCTTCAGCCTTTTCCTACCTCAACCCAAGTCTGTGGTACACAACCCAAGGGGACACCCCCACCCTGAGGTCCCCCAGAAGGATCTCTCACCTCACCATCTGCCTGTAGGCCTCCTCTGCCAACGCAAAGATGTGGGGGTCCATATCCCCCATCTCCCGGCCGCTGTAAGCATAGATCACCTCATCCTCATAGATGGGTAGCGGCTTGTAGGGGTTGATGGCCACCAGGATGATGCCTGCAGGAAGGGCTCGGGGCTCAGACAGGGAAGGGGGGCACTGGGTAGGGCTGGAGGGACGTGGGCTCACCGCAGTAGGTGTAGATGGCATTGGCCTCCAGGAAGCGCACACGGAGGGAATGCAGCACTGCTGGCTCATGCAGGTGGCTCAGAGCCACCAGGTCATCCTTGCCTGAGAGGCACTCAGGGTTGCAGAGAGGTGGCAGCTGAGAGCCCAGGGGGTAAATGAGAGTCTGTAGGGTTGGGGAAAGGGTGAGCACTGAGCGGGGACAGACAGCCCCCAGGTAGGCAGGAGGAACGGCCACAGCGAGCCGTGCTCCTGCACAGCCACTAGGCTCCTTGTGGCCTCTCCACCAAGGGGCACAGGTGGATTTGGGGTGCAAAGATGATCTTATCTCAGGACCCACATGGCCCCAACCTCACCGAGCCATCCTCCAGGCGGAGGTGCAGGATGGAGTCTCCTTCCTCATAGCCTTTGGTTATTTCTGCTGCTCTCCAGACATGGACGCAGTCAGGGATCCAGACCCGGGCACCCTGGGGGGGAAGGGGACAGGAAGGACACCCTACAGACAGCCACCAAACCATGCAGCTCTCTGCATTCAACCTGGTGCTCAGCATCCCCACAGACCTGCAGGGTGGATCCCCCCCAGCTGAGCAGGGAGGCCTTGCAATCACCCAAAAGCAGAACATGACAGCAAAAAGGGCTCAAAACCAGCTGTTTTGGGCACCCAGCAACAGGGCTGGGGGATGCTCCAGCCCCAAAGTCCCTTTGGAATCAGCCCCCCCACCCCACCCCACCTTGCTGCTAAGGAAGCAGTCCTCCTTTCCTATAGGATACCACCATAAAAGGGGAACCCACAACACCCTGATCCCACTGCCACAGCTCCAGCAGCACACAGGGAAAGGAGCTGCTCCACATAGGGCGATACAGACTTTCCCTTCCCCCCCACAGCCTCACCTGCCCATAGGGCTGCCCTGCCGCCATAGCCCCGCTGTCACACAGCCGGCTCCCCCCAGCTCACCGCCCTTTTATAGCCGCTAATTGCCGATAATTGGATACGGGGTCCACAGCTGCTCTGCTGCCACAGCACCGCACTCCTCCCCTAATGGGGGAGGACCCTAAGAGCCCTTCATAGACACCTCCGGCCCCTTTAATGGGGGAGAACCCAAGAACCCCCTGAGCTCTAATGGACTCACCCCACAGGATGCCCCCCCACACACACCCCCAAAGTGCCGCCCCCCACCCCAGGACCACCGGGGGCAGCTCGAGTTTCTCCTGCCCACGGCACCCCCTATGTAGGACCCCCCAAAACTGACCCCTCTCTGGCTGACCCTCCCGTCCCCTGGGTGAATATTTATTAGCCCTACGAGAGAGAACATCTCGGGGCGTTCAGCTGAGCGCTGCTCTGGGGTGGGGATCCCAGAGACCTTTGGGATCTTGTCTCCCATCCGGGGCTGCTCAATTAGAAGGGACCCCGGGACCCGCATCCTCCATCTCCTGTCCCAACGCATGGGGTGGGAAGGGATGCATTTCCCAGCCTGGGGCACGGGGGACCTCAGTGGGATGTTTTGGGGTTTCCGGCCATGGCAGGAGCCCCGGGCGCTGCGCTGTGTCTGCAGCAATCCCTCAACGTGACACAGGGCTGCGCTAAACGCTCCGCTTTTAATTACTCGAAAACCGTCGCAGCCATCAGAAAGCGATGCTCGTGGTCGTTGTGATGGAAATGTCCTTTAGGACCTCGTTCAAATCAGACGATTCTATGATATCCGTGAGGTTGGGGCGTTCCGGGTGGCTTCTGTTGTTTGGCATCGTCCCACAGCCCCAAGAGGGCAAAGTCCTGCAATGCCGGGCGGGGAGCAGCCGCTTATCGGGGCGCTGCTCTGCCCCGTTCAGCACGGAGCCGTGTGCCCGCAGTTGGCACCGTCCTGCCCCATTTCCGTCCCCCCGTGGTCAAATCTCAGCTCCCAGCTCTGCCTTAACCTTGTTTGGGCTTTTATTTTTATCGCTGTTGTGTATTTGGTGTGGCTGGGGCAAATATTGAATGAGGGGAGAGCAGTGTGGATGGAAGGGGGGGAAAGGGAGGGAGGGAAAGAGAAAGGGAAGGGGAAGGAAGGGAAGAAGGGGAGGGGAAAGGGAAGGTGAGAGGGAAAGGAAGGGAAAGAGGGGAGAGAAGAAGGGGAAGGGATAGGAAGGAGAGAAGGAAGGAAAAAGGGAAGTGG